GTGTGTGTGTGTGTGTGTGTGTGTGTGTGTGTGTGTGTGTGTGTGTGTGTGTGTGTGTGTGTGTGTGTGTGTGTGTGTGTGTGTGTGTGTGTCTGCGTGTGTGTGTTTAGGAGGAGGGGGGCGCCAATGGATAAGTTGTGTCAAAAGGGAGGCCCACTGTCTTAGACTTTGAAAAACCCTGGCCTAGGCTATATTTTAGGGGTGTCCAAACTCGGTCCTGGAGGGTTGGTGTCCTGCATAGGTTAGCTTCAACTTCCTCCAACACACCTGCCTGGAGCTTTGTAGTATAGAGCTTGATTAGCTGGTTCAGGTGTGTTTTATTGGGGTTGGAACTAAAATTCGCAGAACACCGGCCCTTCAGGACCAAGTTTGGGCAGCCCTGGCCTAGGCCATCTTTATGTTAGGCAACAAATTGTTTTTCAGGTCTCCTGAGAGTTGTTTGCCATGAGGTGCCATGTTGAACTTTCAGGGGCCTGGCTGAGAGAGTGGAAGAGCTTTTATACCAAATTTAACTCACCTGTTATCTGTGGATAGCCGAGACAGTGTAACACTTATTAGAGTTACATGACAAAGGGAAAGAAAAATGACTAATTGTGCACAGTTTTCACTTAGGGGTGTACTCACTTTTGTTGCCAGGGGTTCAGCTATTATTGGCTGTATTTGTAGTTATTTTGAGAGGACAATAAATTTACACTGCTATAAACGCTTTACACTGACTACTATTCATTGTGTCAAAGAGTCATTTCTGCAGTGTTGTCCTATGAAAAGTAATAAATAAATATTTGCAGAAATGGGAGGGGTGTACTCACTTTTGTGACGTACTGTCTATACTGTATACACACACAAACACATACCGCTACATTTTGCTTAGGGACTGCTTTGAAAATGCAATACCCATGACTGCCAAAAGAGGGCAGGTGGAGGTGAGGACAGGTCTGAAAGCAATTTCATCTAATCACTCCAAACAGACTAAATATTGACAGGAAAAAATATGGAAAATTACAAAGAGCAGAAAAAAAGATGAAAACAAACAAACATTAAAAAAACATGAAATTAAAGAATAAAGTCAGTAAAAAATTCTGAAATTAATATCAAAAGTGTTTTACCGTATCTTGATTAAAAAATAGTTCAACATAGCTTTCTATTTACAACATTAAAGCATTAGTAAATTAAATTACTACATTGTCTAAAATTAATGTTATATATTTAACAATAAAAATATTAAAAATCTAAATTCTTTTTCATGGAAATCATTTCTAACACTATTACAAACAAACAAACACATTTATTTTAGCTGGAGTAATGTTGAGTAACCATTGCTATAATAAAGCAGAATTTTTTTGTTAAATCAAAATATCACAGAATCATATACAAGATGCATCGACTTATAGTGGGAAACTTCAACATTCATTCATTCATTCATTTTCCTTAGTCTTTATTTCAGCAGTCGCCACTGCCGAATGATCCGCCAACTATTCCAGCATTTGTTTAATGCAGCGGATGCCCTGCTTGCCAACACCCAGTACTGGGAAACATCAATACGCACGTATTTACACGCACACACTTATACACAACAGCAAATTTAGTTTATTTAATTCACCTACAGCGCATGTGTTTGGACTGTGGGGCAAACCTGGAGGAAACTCATGCGAACACAGAGAGAACATGCAAACTCCACACAGAAATGCCAACAGGCCCAGCTGGGACTCGAACCAGCAACCTTCCTGCTGTGAGGCGACAGTGCTAACCATTGAGCCACCATAACCATGTCCAAGTATTAGAAACAGACGTTTTGGATTTTCACTTTAAAGCAGGAACACAATGTACAAGGGAACTATTTGGTTCTCTGACAGCCCTCCATCTCTGTATTTAAGAAACACATTTGTCTTGACTATAGGAAACAGGAGAAGTGTTGACTGGCAGCACTTCTCTCAAGCTGGCAGGAACAGCACTGTGAAGGACTGCTGAGTAAAATACACTGTGTGCGTGTGTGTGAGTGTGTGTGCGTGTGTGTGTGTGTGTGTGTGTGTGTATGTATGTATGTATGTGTGTGTGTGTGTGTGTGTGTGTGTGTGTGTGTGTGTGTGTGTGTGTGTGTGTGTGTGTGTGTGTGTGTGTGTGTGAGTGTATATGTGTGTGTGTGTATATGTATGTGTGTGTGTGTGTGTGTGTGTGTGTGTGTGTGTGTGTGTGTGTACGTGCGCATGCGTTACCTGAATGAGGATTTTGCCCAGTGAAACAAAAGGAGTGCTGAGCTCTGTGAGGAACAGACAGCCAATGAAGTAATCGCCCTGGTCCTTCCTGAAGAACTGATGTAGAGAGGAAAAGCACACGGTCAGCACAAACAAACACACACTTTCACAGTCAGTGCATTTACATGGACACCAATATTTACACCGTTAAGACAATACTCCCATTAAGAATCTGCCACACTAATTTTTGCTGATTATTATTAACTACTTATTTAAAATGAGCTGAATCAACACAATTCTTGAAGGGATTTTTTGACACAACTTAATTGTTTTATGTTCAATCCACTTAAATTTGTAATGACAATTTGGTTAACTTAATCGATTTGTTTTGGGACAACATGAAGGAATTGCATGGAACCCAGTTTTTTACAGTGCATGTAAGCAGAGATGTTTTATTAAAGGAATAATTCACAAGCAACTAAAAATTTCCTTAACATGTACTCTACCTAACAAAAGTCTTGTCGCTTATCTAAGTTTTAGGAACATAATAATAATAAAATAATAACTTGACTTCTAGTTGATCATTTGGTGTCAGAAGTGGCTTATATGAAAGGCAAAGGCCTCAAGATCACGTTTATTTTACCAAAATAAAATATGATCATACCTTGATTTTTTATGATTTAATTAGGGCACTAAGGTCTGACTTTGCTTAGACAAAAGTCTTGTCACTTAACAAAAATAATGTACAGTATAGAATATAAAGTCATGTTGCAGTGAAAAAAGAACGAATATTGTGTTTGACTCCCATGAGCTTGGAGGACTGCATCTATACATCTCTGCAATGACTCAAATCATTTCTTAATAAAGTCATCTGAAATGGCAAAGAAAGCGTTCTTGCAGGACTCCCAGAGTTCGTCAAGATTCTTTAGATTCATTTTCAATGCCTCCTCCTTCATCTTACCCCAGACATGCTCAATAATGTTCATTTCTGGTGACTGGGATGGCCAATCCTGGAGCACCTTGACCTTCTTTGCTTTCAGGAACTTTGATATGGAGGCTGAAGTATGAGGAGTGCTGTTCTGCTGATAACCAGCATAACCAGATAACCAGCTCCAGAGTTTATAGAAAACGGTCCGAAAAATAAAAAAATATCCAGTGAGCGGCAGTTCTGTGGGCTCAAATAACTTGTTGATGCTAGAGGTCAGAGGAGAATAGCCAGACTGGTTCAAGCTGATGGAAAGGCAACAGTAACTCAAATAACCACTTGTTACACCTGAGGTATGCAGAAGAGCCTCTCTGAACGCACAACATGTCCAACCTTGAGGCGGATGGGCTACAGCAGCAGAAGACCACGCCAGGTGTCACTCATGTCAGCTAAGAACAGGAAACTGAGACAACAATTGGCACAGGCTCACCAAAATTGGACAATAGCATATTGGGAAAAACGTCGCCTGCTCTGATGAGTCTCAATTTCTGCTGCAACATTCGGATGGTAGGGTCAGAATTTGGCATCAACATGAAAGCATGGATCCATCCTGTACTGTATCAAAGGTTCAAGCTGGTGGTGCTGGTGTCATAATGTTGTGGATATTTTCTTGACCCATTAGTACCAATTGAGCATTGTGTCAACGCCACAGCCAACTTAAGTACTGTTGCTGACCATATCCATCCCTCTATGACCACAGTTTACCCATCTTCTTCATAAAGCGTGAATCATCTCAGACTGGTTTCTTGAACACGACAATGAGTTTACTGTACTCAAATGGCCTCCACAGTCACCAGGTCTCAATCCAATAGAGCACCTTTGGGATGAGGTGGAACGGGAAATTTGCATCATGGATGTGCAGCCGACAAATCTGAAGCAACTGCCTGAGGATGTCAAGTCAATATGGACCAAAATCGCTGAGGAATATTTCCAGTATCTTGTTGAATCTATGCCACGAAGGATTAAAGCAGTTCTGAAAGCAAAAATTGCTCCAACCTGGTGGTACTAGTAAAGTGTACCTAATAAAGTGGCCGGTGAGTATTTGTATATATGTAATTTTATTGTCATTTGCCACAAGCCCTCATCCTGTATTGGATATGCTGGCTCAAAATGTGTAATGCAGGGCTGATAGTGGAAAAAATTCCTGAGCCTGAACTTTTTTTCCTTGCCCCTGAGGTGAGTAGGGGTGGGGGTACTATGTATGCAACGCACTTTTAACACATAACTTGTGGGCCCCTGGGCCCAAATATATTAACAGCCTATGTGTAACCCTGATCATCATTATTGTCAAGTGGCTCTTTTTAGACACATGCCAGTAATGTCAGTGACACATGCCAGTGTCAGTGATCTTGTGACATGTGCCAGTAGGTGTCAGTATAAGCACGTTATAAGCACATTAATCTTATAAGTCTCTTTGCTTTAATATTTAAAAATCATTAGGCAAATGACACCTGTTATCTTACATGCATATATGTTATGAGTTTTCAACATGCATTTTATTATAACTTTTTAAAGGATATTATTTAAAATACCTTAAAATGAAAATAAGTTAAATAATAAAATAAATGAATGAATTAAAAACATAGAGAAGTCCATATTGTAGGGAACAAAGGAACTGCCAGGATGCAATAATATACAGTACAACAGATAAGTGTAACCCCTCCCATACATAAGCATGCCACAATAAATTTGACTGACATGTACTGTCAAATGACTATATTACGTACAGAAGTATGACGACGAATACATAAAATAAATGCGTTTAAATTAAAACATCGTGGAGTAGCTCAGCAAATAAACTAACTTGCGACGCGATAAATTAGGTTAAAAGTCGCGTAATGATTAAATATGGTTTTGCTCGTGTTTATTGATGTCATAAGCTTCGCCAGGTGTCGATGTCACTGCAGTGGCATGCAGCGCGACACTCTGAGTGACACAGGTCACTACACATGCCACTAGCGAGTGACACATGACAGTGGAAAACCGGACGTGCCACCGGAAGTGTCACTACACTCAGTCATGTGCCAGTGTCATCTGTACGTCAGAGGTCGTGTCACTCCATGTTAAAACTGCTACTGTGAATCCGCGTTCAAGCGCACACAATAAGCTAAAACTCGCCCCAAGCACCGGCAAGAACAAATAACAATGAATGTGTCGAGGAAAGAGTAAGGACATATCTTAATTATTTATTAATAAACTTATTCTGAGTCAGTGTCGCAAAGATCCTGACTGGCAATCTCCTCTTGGACTCGCCTTTAGAGAGAAATTCATCTTTACGGATTACATGAAGGAGTTTTTTTGTTTTCGATTTGTTTTATTACGTTAATTAATAATTTAAAGCTTTCTATAAATATATTTATTACAGGGCTCGAAATTAATTTTTTTACTTGGTAGCACCGGTGCTCCCAAATTCAAATATTTAGGAGCACCAAAAAAAAATTTAGAAGCACCCACCAAAATGAATGAGCACCGCTGCAAATAGTTTTTTAAGGTATTTATTGTATTTTAAAACAACATCAATAGGACTAACAAAAACCAGAAATAACTATCTAACTAATGCTGTGATGACTTGATATTTGTGTGCAACAATTCCAAAATGAATGTTTAATAATTATAGAATATTAATGATAATGAAAATGACAATAATAGTAACAATGAACTGCCTTGAACGTGCATGAATATCTGCTATAAAAAGTCTGTTACTTTATGAAAAATAAATGTATAGTTTGCATCAAACAAAAATGAAGCATTGCAGTAAGAAATATTTATTTTGTGCTGTTTTATATGAATGTCAATTTAATAAATAATTAAATTCAATGCTGAAAGCTGCAAAGCAGTCATCAGTAAATAAATAAAAAATAATATACACCTCAAAAAAGAATAGACGAAAAAAAAAGTAAGTAAAGTCTCACTTTTATCACTCTTTAAAAGTTTTGGTTTCAGTTTGTGTCAATTTAAAGATTCAGTCTGAGCTGATGTTAATTTTTCTGTGTTAGTGGAAAGCAGGCGATTCAGCCGACCCAATTTATGAGCAGGTTGAGCCAACACGTTCTCACTCCCAACTCGTCACATACTGACGCTTGGTCAGGAACCCTCGGCGTCAGTTATTGACGCACAGGGTACCCCTTTAGCGTCATATTTAGACGTGCAGGGATTCCCTATAGAATCTGTGCCTGAGCCTGAGGCGTCATATGGAGACGCTGGAGGCTCGTATAATTACCAATAGATGTCAACAAACTTTTTAAAACCTGATTTACGCCTATTATCATAGTTTTCTTATTTTAAAAATATGTAATTTTTATTTTGTTTATGAAAAGCGTCTGTAAACGGGGTCAAAACTACTGTATGAATAAACTTCGGCCCACGTGACATCCCTTCACGGTGAGTTTAACGCCGCTCTGCTATTGGTCAAACTGCATCAGCGGTGAGTTCTCAGATGAGTTCAACTGTCAACATTAAATATTACGTTAATGCTGCATAATATATTTTTATTGGAGATTAGTTGGTGTTTATAAATATTTTATCATTTACTTTATATTTAATGAGTGAAAATATATTCGGTTGTCCAGTTTAGGGTAACTATGCCTAATAAAACTTTGATTCATTCATATTATTTA